AAGGTGTCCCTGCCGATGGTAGAGGGTGGTGGAGCTAGATAATCTTTGAGGCTCTTTCAAACCTAAATCATTCTATCATCCCAAGTATTGCATTCCCTGAGCAAAGTTGTCAGGTTTAAGCTTCTGACTTAAGTCCTGTGGAATAAGCCTCAGTTTTCCGTACATACAAAACTGGGATGGAAATATCCTCAGAGTACTGACTGGGTTGTACGTACCCACATTTCACCTGCTATCTCAGTGACATAAAAGGTATTCAGGAAGTGGTGTTATCACTATTTTGATTACTCGTTTTTATGCAAGGCAAGGTAAATGATTAAGTTCACCTCTTCTTCTGGCTCATTTACTTCACTTTCATTTCCAGATTGTTCCTCTGTCTCTGCTCCACCTTCTTCCTCCTCTTCATCCTCTTCCAGATTCTCTCCTTCCGTAATGGAGTCTTTGGAATCTTTGTCATTCACAATTCCTGAAATTTGAAAAACAAGAGAAAGAATTAGAAGAATGAGAACATTAGAACTCACATAATCACTCAAGTTATATGTGGAAGATGACCTCAAAAGTCCATTTTTACTGAACACTAAAACTTCCAATGGGTCATAATATTCGATTCCCTAATGAAATATTTGCTAAATAGTTACCTTACTTGTAAAGGGTAATAATTTCCTTGCCAGAAAAGGAGGAAAATATTCTACAGAATGTTTAAAATCACCCACAGAACAACAAGCAAGAAGCTGCTCTGTGTAAACTGCTTCAAAAATATCCCCAAACTAAACGTGCAGCCTGACACATGCATTGAAATAGGAGCACTAAACTACTGATGCTTTACAAAACCAGCAGAACCCAGAAGACATCAACCTCCTGCAGTCTTCGTTCCAGTACTTCACACTGTTTTGAAACCACTATATTCTGGGCCTGTAACGACTTTTTGATTCTCTTCTAACGCTCGAAGGCTACACTTGAACCTCTGAGGATGTAGGTGCCTAAATCAAGTCTTTAGGAAATCAGATTCTGTTCCAGAAGTATTACTGAATGTGCTCATCCTCCTTGCAGACAGGACTGTTTCGTTCATCTTGCAGTCTTCCTTATTGACCTGCTTGTCACCTCTGTCCCTCAAGACATATTAGCTTACTCTGCAAAGTACAAAGTGTAGCTCCCCTAAACCTCTGCTTTCTTTCAATAAGGTATTCTTCACTAAAACACCCTTATCTATACCATTCGCAGAGTAGTGAAAAGTAACTTTTAGCTTCCCTCAGTGCTTTAGTGTTTAATTCAGACTCCTAAACACACTTTCTCCTCCGTATTCGAGAGGTTTCAGAGCATTGTTTTTACCTCTCCTATTTTAAACACTGTGCACTTCAACATATGCGATGCTCCATAATTATGCAAAACTCTTTTGAATCATTATATTCTCACCAGTAGAAAATCACCAGAGCAGCACAGGAACCAACAGTCAGTCCCCAGTGCAAGGTCTGCAGGCAACAAACCACTGTTGTGCCTAGAATCACACTTCTGACTGACAAAGAGCAAAGCACATCATGGTCTTTAGCACAGTATCTTCTCAGTGTTACCATTTATGGGCCAAGGAACTGTGGGGACAAAGTGATCAAGAACTGGGGGGTTACTAGAGCTTTTGTTAAAGTGTTAAACACTCATTTCCTTCAGATATGCATGTACCTATCATCATAACCTTCAAAGATCAGAAAGGTAGATGAGGATCTTCCCAAGATCACCTTCAAACAGTCCCAACAGGAGGACTAGGAACTATCCCACCTTAAACTGATGTTTAATAGCAAGACAGTAATATCAGTACTAAGAAGAGCAACACACTTGCGAGTGGATGGACATGACACAACTCTGTGTGGTAAAGGCTGTACTGTTGATGGGCTTTGCTTGTGCCAAAACACAACACAGCAAGATGTTCTCCAACACTTTCTCACAGTGACCATGTATCTCCCCCTTAACTACACCAAATCCAACTGCTGTAGTAGCGGTGAAGTTCTTATGATTTGTAGGAAGTGCTGAGATCTTTCAGAAGAAGATTACTTCATGGAACCAGTTGTGAATTACTTCTTCATTATTTTGAGAGCATAAAAGCTACTAATTTACATTACACCATATGGAAATTTTAATCTGCACTTCAGTTACTACATAGGTAATTTTAAGGCATGTCAATTAAATGAAGAGCATATTAATGAACTACGTTCCTCCTAAACAGAAGTTGCAATGTTTTACCTGGCAATGACACGTCCTTATCCCACTGGATTAAAGGATTACTCTTAAAAGTTAAACTTGTGTAACTAGCTTAAGTGCTATTAATGCTCTAATTTACACAAAGTGTAAAATTTACACATAAAAACTTTTCATGAACAAGCTTGTCTTCAAATAAAAATGCAAGCTAAGAACTCTATTTATTGAGAAATGAGCACAACAGTATCCAAAAATTGGTAAGAACTGGTATGTACAAGAGGTTTAAAGGTTAAGATGATAGTACTTTTAGATCCACACTAACCAGAACCTTGTCAACTGAGCTGTGCTGCAAGACCAACTTTTTTCCTCCTGAAATTAACTGATTTTTAACACAGCAAGATATCTATATATATATATATAACTGTAATCTTAGCAGGAATTACAAGCCAGCACCCAACCTAGCTGGCATACATTTTAATAAGAAAAACCCCACTTTAATAACCCAAACAAAGCTCTAATTCATAAAAGGTAAATTATCCTCTGGCCACTACTGAAATGTAAAGCCCATTCAAAATTATTTCAAAGGAAGTGTAAGGCTCTGACAGTAAGTAAAAAGTACCTGACAGTGTTTTAAAAGCAAAACATGTTCCACCTTTTGTTGTAGTCTTACGTTAATGCTTACTTCGACACAGCAACTTTAGTCAATGAGAAGTGGGGAAGGAACACAGAGTTGCAAGCAACTAATCTACCAAAACGACCAAGCTGTTTCCACCAGTACTTACCAGCCAACAGGCTGCAGTGATCAGGTGTGCAGATACTCCCTGCTTTTCATCCTACAGCATGCTTCCTAAATTCTTCTGATAAATTTTAGTTTTCCTCATCATCATTTGCACCATACTAATCCATATATTTATATATGCATACACTCCTCCTCTCCAAACACTACTATATTACATGTATACTATAAATCTACACACCATATACTACTACTACTATATTAATAGTATTCATATTGACTTTGTCTTGAAAACTCAATCACTTCAGAGTTATGGAGATTCTATATGACCTCTATGCTGATCAGAAAAATGCAAAACAGTTACAAAACTCTTTCTGTCACGAGAATAAAAAGATCATATCATAACAACACCCAACATCATACAAAAGAGACTTTTAAGACATACTTAAGGAATTGTCAAAAAGGCCTCATTTCCTTTGCACATTTTCTTACCTAATTTTATTAAGAATTCTCTTTCCAAGTCTTGCACCTGTCTGACAGCTTCTTCCAGAGAATTACAGAGCTTTATCTTTGGTCTCAGCAGTTCCAGTGTATCACTGATCATATAGTCTATGTCTATAGGAAATGGGTGGTCTTTTGTCCAAACATCCAGACTTTTTTTCCACCAAACATACCGCTGGAATACAAAATATTCAAACAAATTACATCCACACTGGCATTTATTAACTATTTAACTTGGGAAGTTTGTAATGCCTGGCCATGTTTGTACTATAGGAAATGCAAAGACTTTACATTGCTGCTTTTCTATTTCATAGAACTATTAGGTATTTTGATATCACTAAACACTGTTTGATAACATTGGGTATCATAAACAAAGAACATGCTCCTTTCATTGTAACAACTGTTAAAAGCATGAAGACTAAGCAAAAAAAACCACTGAAAAGTAAGTACCATCTAAGGGTAGATCCTTTCTATGAGAGATGAGCACTTCACCAGCCAGCTTTCAATTCTTTTTTCAAGAAAATTAATTGCCCTAAAGGCATTTGCTTTTGCTCTAATGGTGCAGAACTTAATGCCACGTTCATACAGTCCAGGAGTCCCCAGCTCCATTCCTGCAAAGCTGCTTTCTAAGTAGTCAGTGCCAGGCGATTCTGCTGCATGGAGTTTTCTCCATCCCAACTGGAAGACTTGTTACTTACCTTTGCTGGGACTCATAAGGTTTCAGCCCATTTTTCCCATTGCTGAGACCTCATGAAGGGGAGAACCTAAACCCTTCAGCGAATCAACTGCTACCCCAGTGCTCTGCAAGTTAGCTGGAAAGCAATACCTACATAAAACTGAACATATACATCACTTTAAGAGAAAACTATCGGACAGACAGGATTCTGAAAATTATAGTGCTAGAGAAGAATGAGAGAAATACATAACATTACATCAGCTTCTTAAAGAAATCTACAGAACTACATCAAATTTAGTTCAGAATACCTGAAAATATACAAGGAAGCAATCAAGTTTTCGTTTGCTGGATCCTCTGTCAAAATACTGCCCACAGGTATCGAGGATAGTACACACTAGTCTGATTCTGAAAAGATGCTCTGGAGGGTCCAGTGGACTAGGACTACCATCAGGGTTCACACCAAATGATGTGAAAGAATAGAGAGTTCGAAATATTACAGCTGATTCCACCATTCGGTAATTATAAAGCTCCCCCAAGAACTTGGCACTGCTGATCCGCCGCTGGTTAAACTTTGGCTGGTTCACCTTTACCAAAGAAAGGACAAAAAAATTCACTTTATCACGCAGACACAACAGAATCTTTGTAAAAGGTTTGTTGTTTGGTAAAGAGAAAAGAAGTATAAAAAAATTGTTATAATGATTTCTATCAAAAAGATGGTTAATTATGGCTACGTACTTCACACAATTAAAAAGTAGATATGAAAGCAGGTCAACTAGTAGTTATTAGAAAGCTCAAATACATTTAGCATAAACTCTTAAACCTGTGATGATTTTTCATTGTCCAGAGAATTCTTGTAACATCTATCAAAATATGGGCTAGTCTCCAAAGTTAACTGAAGTTGCATGAATCTGACTACACTGTGAAAGAATAAATTGTGTGCCCTTACTACTGGCCTAGTAGTTTTTACAATTTGTTGGACTTTGGGGTTTTTTAATTTAAAGTAACCTACATAAAGTAAACAACTGAGGTAGAAAAATCAGACAAAAATCCAAAATCCAAGGATTCCTTTCTTTAAGCAAGGTGGTTTTACTCTTTTCCTTCCAACATAAGGTGAGAAGTACAGCTTAATGAGAACACTGGTTGGTTACCTCCATTCCTAGTCGAATATCCTCTAGCACTCCATCCACCACATGAATTCCAACATCTTCCTGATAAAGGACCAACCCTGCTAAGAGGTTGGCTACACAGTGAATACTATTATATTTCACATTCCAGATGTTGATCATACAGCATATAACATAGTCCTTTACTTCTGTGTCCTGCCAAGGCAACTTGCGCATCTGTCTCAGGACCTAAAACAAATTTTAAGACAAGCTTAACAATTCAGCAAGCAAAATATGAGAATACTCACTGTCATTCCCAGTCTCTCACTGTTGGGATGAAATCCCTGTAAGCACCAGCAAGCAACCTCATTCTCTTTGTCAAGCATCCTCCATATCTACAGTAGCTACAGAAAAATTTACATATGTAACCCAACTGCTGTTCTCTAGCTACTAATTAAGCTGTCCAAATGTGTTCCTTAATTTCCTTGCTCTTACAGGATTTAACTATAGTCTTGTCTCTCACTATGAACACAAGATATTTAGCACAAGACTCTCATTTCACTCTCTATTTATTCAGCACTTAATGCTCCGGAGAACGTAGGTCCATGACTGGAGCTTCTATGCATTACAATGAAAGAAATGAAACTATCTTAATCAGGGATATAAAAATGATCCCTCTTTCTTGTAATTAAAACTGATAACCCTCCCCAAACCCTTCAGAAGTTAGAACTACATCATTTCCATCAGATCTGTATTAAAGATTTCTAAAGGATTTACCTTCTCTGTGGTGACCTTGGAGAGATCCTTGTAAAGGAGCTTACGAATATACTCCTGCAAAGGAGGACGCTTTTTCTTCACAGTTTTTTCAGCTGGAGGGGGGTTACAGTAGTAATAGGCATTTTCTACCATTGTAACATAGCGTGCATCAAGATGCATTGCTTGTTTCTTTCTCATCATTTGTTCCTGGAAATAAATACAAATGATCACTTTAAAATAAAGATGCCATACTCCATTTTCAAGCCAAAGGCTTTTTACAGTTACATCTGGGATAGAGGAAACACAAAAGGCTGGAGGGAAGGAAGTTAAAAGCTTGAGTAGAGAGAAGAAAGGACAAAGCATATGCTCCTGTGTTGCTATTTCCAAGGTCATTTTTCTTTACAATCCCTGTTTTTATAATGGTTCACCTGTGGTGAAAAAGGTTCCAGAAAAGTATTTAAAGTTTAACTTGAAATCTAAATGCTACTGTTTATATAAATGGTTAATAAGATTATGGGCAACTCTGCTCAAAACAGGATTTTATTTAACTGAAATAGCTGAAATCCTGATGTCTTGACACAAGCATATAGTGAATCATCGCAGGAGTGGCAATCTACTCTTTACATCAGCATGCAACTCGAGAGAGTTTATGTTTTTGCTTCCACATGAATTTTCAGTGGTTTAGGCAATGGCATTTCCCTTATTACATGCTCCATTGTTGCTGTTTACCCAAGCAGAACTGACTGCAGGAAAATCAGCATTTCAGGAAAAACATCAGACGAGTAAAAGGTTACTACATCAACACTAATTACTGTGCTTCATTGTCAGGATTGTCCTAACTTTCCTCATGGAACAAAATCTTTTCTCCATACTTCATTTTGGATATGGACTTTATTATTTTGTGGGTTTTAAAAATGTCTGGTATCTAAAAATTCTGTACAACTGAAGTAGCAGTTCTAAGCTGCTGATTCTTACAGTAAAAAGATGATGAGCGTAACTCCATTGTAAAAGAAATTTTTATATGCATTTGTGTGCATATAATTCTGTAAGTTGCATTAAAAATTACGTATATCATATGATTCCATATGTTCTAAGTCACTCTAAGGTGGTCCAACAGGAAAAGAAACTGCACTGGTTTAGACTTTATTTAATAGAGGTTGGCTCCACCGTAGTTTATAGCACCAAACATGAACAAAACTGACATGGAAGTACTGTTTTATCACTGCACATGAATGTTAGGATATCATAGAATAGAAGGGTTGGAAAGGACCTTAAGATCATCTAGTTCCAACCCCCTGCCATGGGCAGGGACACCACACACTAGATCATGTCACCCAAGGCTCTGTCCAGCCTTGAACACTGCCAGGGATGGAGCATCCACAACTTCCTTGGGCAACCTATTCCAGTGCCTCACCACCCTCACTGTGAAGAACTTCTTCCTTAGATCTAATTTAAACTTCCCCTGTTTAAGTTTAAACCCATCCCCCCTTGTCCTACCACTACAGTCCCTAATGAAGAGTCCCTC